TGTTATTTATTCTTCTTACTTTAACGTTAAGAGTTCCTTTGTTTATTATCATTTTATTATTTTAACATTTTTTTTTTTTATATTACATTTATTACCGGTAACATTATTAGAGGTCTTCATTGCGTACTATACATTATCTTCTTATTAGTATACTATGTCGAAACGGTTAACATGTGAAAAACTTGAAATTACATTTATTTGTTAAATAATCTTTAACTTTATTACCAGATCAATCACACAATAAATTAGATTTTTGATTATTTAAAAATCGATCATGAACTGAATAATAATTTAATTGTTGTTCGTAAAACATACCAAATACTAAAAGTGATAGAATCTTTCTTACTTTAGTTTTTTTTTCATTCTAGTGTGATGAATCATAGTTTAATAATTATTTTTTTGGTGCTTAAACAAGTCAGTACGTATTACAATAACAATAATAGGCATCTTAATTCCGTACTATGTGTGGTCTTATTAGTATAATATGTTATACAATAACTGGCAAGATTGTCTGATAAAGAAGCCGTAAGACTTAATGTGTCTAATTGCATTTTTATACATTTAAGAGATCTGCATATTATAATTCTCCATTAATAGATAAGCTTAATTTGTAAATGATCTCCCTTAATGTTAAACAATACAAATTTTTATTTCCGAATCAATCTCACAATGAATCATCTCCTGATTATTGTTGTTCATAATACACAAATACCAAATACTAAGAGTAGAGCGTCCAGGGTACTGGGTGTATAATTCTGCTCATGCTAAATCCAATTTTTATATTGTTTCTGTAAGAGACTCATTATTTAAATCACTTTCTAAATCAAATTACAATAAAAAAGGTATTTTTAGCGTGAGCAGAAATATGCAATGTGGTACCCTGAACATTCTGACTGATATTAATAAGAGTAGTTGAATTTATGCTCCTTATTTTAGTTGCGAGTCTCGAGGTTAACTAATACAATAAAACTTAAAACTTGATTTGATAAACAGGTTAATATTTTTTTAGCGCTTAAAGGCATCATTAATCTGCTTTAATGGATCCCTTTTTACTGTTCTTTATATAATTATAAAAAGTTCCTTATTAAAGTAAAACCTGATTACATTAGACTGTCAAGCAATTGTACTAATAATCATACTTTATTGTATTAAGATATTCCTCAATATTAAGTATTAAAAAGATCTATCATTCACAATTGATGAATTTACTTATTTATTGAATGATTTCCTTAACGTTTAACAATATAAATATTAATACAACAAAATATTTATTTCCAGTTTGATTACATTAAATTAGATTTTTAATGAATATAAAATAAAATAATATGAATATTGTTGTTTTACATAGTACACGATGAATAACCAGATGCTATGAGTGATCGGATTTATGTTTTTATATTTTAATTACAAAATCAAATTTGATTTTTACTTTTCACTTATACATTTATCTTATCGATAATCTAAAGTTCACTAATCTTTATCTGATGCACTTGAATAATAGAATTATTGTTGTTGCATGATTAAACATCGAAATAATACCCGTTCTTATCACATAATCAGAGCTGTTAGATTTTTGGTATCTAAAATAGCAATATCACGATAATCATATTTGTAGATCTATAGAATATCAGTTTCGCTCAAATTTAATTATAACCTTGTCGTAATATCATTGATACTGTTTTAGATACTGCCAAAATCCTGTATTTCTGCTTTTAGTATTAACCTATAATTCAGATAATCGCTTATCTCAATTTTTTTAGATGAATTTCCACTTAATTTCATCTCGTCCTCTTTTCTATATAAAGAGATCTTGTAAAAGATGTATAATCAGATCTATTTTTATTATCGTTTTATTCTAAAGTTTGCTATACACCATATTCCTTATCTATAATTGCTTACCTTCAACCATTTACTTAATTTGTAAAATGTCATCCTTATTCATAGCATTCTGTTTTGCTAAAAATGTTACTAGAAATGACAGATACATTTCTGGAACTGCCTTATACCGAGTTAACCATACTACTGACAAATTCAGAGAAATTACTTTTAAAAGGTTTATTCCTAATTCTGAATCTTTAATCGTCCCTTTTGAAAAAAATTCAATCATATTAATAGTTGGCCGTTATGTTTATGAAAACCTAGAATATATATATAATCGTTACAGTTAATATATTAATTTCATACACCAAGTAGCTTAGTATGTCATGAAAAATGTTGTGGTCTTGTAATCAATAACCTCTACAGTCAGGGTAATTCAAATTATGCGTTTGAATTGTCGCATCAAAAGTGCCTATCATCACAAGACCATGATATTTTTATGCATAACCAACCTATCTTCAAAACCCATTCTTTATATACTATGTTATATTACTTTCTCTCAGGTTACTTTGGTTCAAATGGTTCCAATTTCTTCTTCTCAAGATGATTATGTTCTCACTCCTGAAGATCTTCCAAGTTCATCTCCTTTGTTAATTTATACCGCTACCGTGGTACCCATTTCATATATTCCTGATAATCAAGGTGGACGAGAAAGTTTTGTAATGGCGAGATGGTTATATAACAGGGTCACTAATAATAAAAATGTTGAGTCAAAAGTTATTATATCATATACAAATAAAAACAACTGATATAAAGCTATGAAAAATAATTTGAAAAAGACAGTCATGTCTGTCATAGAGCGTTTGAAAATTGGATCAAAAAAACTTCCCTATATTCTCGCTTCTAACATTGAATGGACATATGTTTCTAGTGATTTCCAGCCCTCAAGTACTACAAGTAACACAAGAGTAACTTCAGAAGTTGAACTTGATGTACATCTTGACAGTATTGAAGAAAAGTATGCTACGCTAACATCCCAACTCCCACAAAAAAAACCGAGAATTAATCTGCATAACCCATTGGATAATAAACATTTAAATGATAAAACCACATCTCTTAATTTTGCTGACCTTATTTTACAAATCCAAAAAGGGCCTCCTTCTGCTGGAACAACCTATGCAGAACCCTTCTCGTCAACTGCTAATTGTGAATCTTTATCTTAGAATACAAATCAAAGTATTTTTTCTCGTGCGACTCATATTGAAGATGAAGATGATACCCTTATAAATGATAATGATTCTATTGAGCCTTCTCATGTTCAACCTCAGAATACAAAACCTGATACTAAAGGTAAACGTGCTCGCACTACAAAAAAATAAGCACTTAATACTTTTTTTTTTTTTTTTTTTTTTTGCATTATCCTTTTTGTTTTCTTTAACAAATGCCACCTGATAATTGTATTTGTTATCTTACCTTTTAACTTTACTGCTCAACTATTTTTTTAATGCTACTTTTCCCTTTTACATCATATTAATTTTTTAAAAATAAATTTTATGTTGATAAATTATGAATATAGTTGTACCTAGATTATATGCTCTTTTATTTGTTGAGCAAAATAAACTCCTTTTCTTATATGTTTTTATATTGAATCATTTCCTTCCGTATAATAATGTTTATTATAAAGAATAATTAACAGTTAATATAAAATAATTACTTTAGACAGATTAAATTATGTGCTCTTATCATTGTAGCAAAAGTGTATATAAATGCGCTTGTAAAGTGTACGTATATGAAATATCTACTTAATATCGCAACGGTAAATTATATACTACGTTAGAATCCGCTTTAATTTGTGATGCTCATGAGTACTAATTCAAGACCGTATAAATCATTTTAAAGAACAAAATTTTCATAATAACGTTCACGAGCATTAGTTAATCTTATGTATATCTCCAGAAATTGAAATCCATATAAAAAAAATGTTATAATATATTATTTACATATTCTTTCATATACGCGTATCATGCTTGATAATGACAGTAATATACTGCGCTACTTTTTTCTTTTAAGTTCTTAATAATGTATTTGAATAAGTACTATTCTACATAACAATTACTTTACCATTATCATATTACTTACAAACTTTCTCATATCTGTGTTATACTACACTATACTACATGTTATCGATGAATTGCTTTTAAATTTACTGTTAAATTTCTAATTCTAACCATACTTATATTCTATTACAAAAAAATTTTTCATATTTATCTATTAATAAATACTTCTACATTATCACCAATATATACCTTTTTATTTCAATTATAATAAAATAAATATATGCATTATTAATATTTTATTATGATCATTTAACTTGATCTATCAGTTGATGCTTACAATGCCCAATGTTAAATAACCATTTATATAAACTCTCGTTAAATACTACATCACCTGCCTGGTAGAATTTCTTATTTAAATCCCTGATCTTCCTCTATTGTTGCTTAAGTTTTATCTTCTTATCCTTTGTGATTAAAAAAAAATGTCAAATTACAATATTCGGTTGATTTTTAGTATAACCGGGCAATATAGAAATACTATAAAAGTATAATATAAATAAATAACTATATAACTTAATTTATGCAAATTTGGGACTAGTTAGGGTTAGGGTAAGAGTTATAGTGTATATTAAAGTTAGATTAGGGTTAGGGTTTGTGTTTTTTTATATTATAATCTTATAATATTTTTATATTGTCTAGTTATTCTAAAGAAGATCCAAATATTATACTATTTATAGTAACTCAGATGATGTTGTATTTGAAGAGATTCTTTGAATTATTCAGAACAAGGTAATGATATCTTTTTTCCTTGTGAACATGGAGTTACAGAAAAAGATCCATTTTGTACTGTTGAAATGCTAGCAAGAAAGACATCAGGTATCGAAGCTCCTAAGATACATGGGGCAAAGCCATGGAAGCTTAATAGTTTTGCACCTACAATAAATAAAGAAGTAAGTTAATTATAATTAATAGCACTACAATATTATTATTTGTTATTTAATTTATACTATATTAACTTTTAGAATTTTCTTACTGATAATAATCCAATGTTGCTTGACAATGAAGTGGAGTTATCAAATATATCTAAACTAAAAGAAACTTCAGTAGTTAATACAAGAGAAGAGTTGTACTCATTAACTTCATTGATTCAAAAACGATTAACAACTGCTATTTGTAATCACAAACATAGCATTTCAAAAAAGGTAAATTTATAATATTATTATACTTGATAAATAAGTAGTATATTAATTATAAACTTTTACTAGTTAATTCAAAGTGAGGATAGCGTCAATACTAAATCATCCAAGAAAGCTATCACACGATCTGCACTTAAAGATCTCTTTGCAAAGAAATAGATAGGCTGAAAAAGATGTAAGTTTGTAAAGGCCTGCATTGAACAGAATATTTGCTTAGATAATAATGCAAAATTAAACAAAAAAAAATTGTTTACTTGGTTTGATGGAAGGAAGACTAAAGAAAAGCAAATATCTGAATTATAGCTATCAACTAGTATGTAAGTTATATTTATTCATAATTTATTATTTTATATTTTAAGATTCTCACATCTATGATTTTAAATTATACAATATAGATTATACAAATGCAATAAGTTTTCTAAGTAGTGATTATTGTAACTTGGGAATTTTAATGAAATTTTAAATATATTCTAACAATACATAATGTATAGTATGTAATATATTCAATATTTCATTGAAAAAAATAATGTTAGCAATCTACATACAGTATATATTTACATATTAAATACCATATTTAGTAGTAAACAATGTTCAATGTTTTACACTTCTGATTCTATCACTATACAATTGTGCAGGTCTAAAGTTAATTATTATAAAATGGCAGAAAATTTTTAAACTTTGTAATAATATTTCAAGAATATATTGTAAACTAACTTTTTACAAATTTTATGTATCACACCAACATAGTATAATCACAGCACTTAAAGCATGTTATAGATTAATAGAGATGAAATTGAAATAAAAAAGCATAAACATTCATTGATAAATTCTAATGATAAAAAGTGATTTTAGTAATTTGATTAATGAAGATTATTGGTTAGAAATTTTATAGCATTCTTATTAGACTACTGAAAATGTCTTGAAAGTTGCTGCTAAAATCTTTAAGAGAATATCTTCAGAAAACAAAACAACAAGAATTTGCAATGAATACATTAGTGTATTTGGCATTAAACAAACAGAACTATATATAAAGTTGCAATAATATGGTAACTATACAAGAAACAATATTGTTTAATATTTTACTTCGCTTATATGTTTACTATCTTATGACCAAAACTCTTTGAATCTAAGTAATTTGACCCAAAAAGAAACTAAGTCGAACATGCCAATCATGTTATAGTATACCAGTTGTATTATATTATACAGATTAATTTTTTTTTTTTTTTTTTTAGATAGGTCAATAAAAATGGGCCAGGTGGGTCAATAACGATGTTTTTGCTATTATATCAATTCAAATTAATTAAAATATATAAATCTATCAAATATAAATAAGTGTTAATAATATTAAAAACATATAATAATATTTTATAAATTTAAATTAAAAAGTAATCGAATTAATTTAGGATAATTTAATTTAATTCACAATAGTTTGAAATATTTTAAAATGATAAGTTAAATGTATTGTGTAAGATAAATAGAAAATTATAGTGATTGCTAGTTTATTATATTAAATTAATTAAAATTAATTGAAATAAATAAATCTATCAAATATATATAAGTGTTAGGTCTCCGCATAGGCCTGGGCTACCTATGAGTACCTGCGAGTAGACCCACAAGGGCCGGGTTAGGGTATCAAATCCCAAACCCTAGGGTAAGAGTAAGGGCTTAAAAAACTAAGCTCTTACACAAATGGGTGGGGCTTGGGTAGTACCGCTACCCAGCTCCCATACCCGTGGATACCCATTATTTATGTTTCATGTAAATTTCAGTTTATATAAATTGGCTAATTTTTATATGAATAATTATCATTTATAATTTAGATCATGAATGTAAAAAACAATTATTAAGTATTTAAAATAATTCATTTATTAATTTAATAAAAATTACTATTTAATTCATTTTATTCACGCAATATAATCTGTAAATATAATGAACATTTATTAATTTAAGTATCTAAACAAACTAATAGATCTATTAATTTATATTTATTCATGTTAATTAGTTGAATTAAAAAATAAATATAAATAAAATAAAATATAAAGCCCTATAATTATAGTAAATGTATGTATTATAACGAAGATAAAGTATGGTGTTTAATATATAATTTAAACATAAATTCAAGAATAGATAGATATAAATAGAGAGATTAATGAGATTGATAATTATATGAAAGGATCTCAACTTATAATTATGAGCTAAACACATGATTGAATGGATGATATTTAATATACTAAATTAAAAACTGGCAATTGGGAGTTTTTATTTTGGTTGAACAAGTGTTATACTAAATCTGAGTTGACAAAAATTAGCCAATTATATGAATTAAATAACTGGGCATCCAGTCACCTAGCAGACTATGAATTTAAAACTCGCTTTACTTTAGCTGATCTAATTTCAGACAGTCTTTCTAATAATAATAATAAGCTTGTGGATACCCATGGGTACCCGCAAGTTTTGCGGGCTGGGCTAGAGCATCAAATTTTGAGCCCTAGGGTAGGGTAAGGGCTAGGGTATTGCCATTACCCAGCTCTACCTGGCCTATATAAAGGCCTAATAAGTGTTAATAATATTAAAAAATATATAATATTTTATAAATTTAAATTAAAAATGATCAAAATAATTTAGGATAATTTAATTTAAATCAAAATAGCTTGAATTATTTAAATAATATAATTTACTAAAAATATTTTGTATATTATATTTAACAATGATAATTTCGTGATATTTCAATTTTATTCAAAATAAATTTAATTAACTTATATTAATGTACTATAATTTAAATAAATATAAAGGCTCTTTAAATATTTTTAATGTATTCAAACTAAATCAAATCATTGCAAATTATTTAAAATAATTATTTATTCCAAATTTGTGTTAAAGGTAAATATTTTCTTGAATTAGAATAATTTAATTTCCTTATATATCAATTACTTTAGAATGCATAAAATTTGTTTATTCAAAATCCCAATTACATAAAAATTTAAATTTCTTCTTCGTAACAATAGATAATTTATATTATGCATGTTTCG